TTGTCCAGGTTTTTTGAGTGATAAATTATCCAGAAGTGGATAACAGCTAATCTCCTCAAAACAAGCGTTCTTGTAGTTTTTCTTTCCTGCTCAATTCAATTCAATATTATTTTATTAATCCCAAAGGGAAATTAAATGTTGTTGTAACTCATTATCCTCGTTTCATTAAGAGATGTTATAGATACTGATGGCTGTAGGCAGGAAGGAGCTCTTGTAAAGGTCCGTTCCACAGTTGATCTGAAGAAACTGACTGCAGATGCTATCCAATCCATCCACCCAGACTCGGCTGGCCTCTCAGTTCCCCCGGGCTGCAGGACCGCCCGAATGCCAGGCAGAAGTCCTCCTAGAGCGATAGCCACTACTTCCAGCAGCCTGATGAGCTCCTCGTTGCTGCAGACAGCCAGATGCAGGCGCTGAGGAATGATCCCAGTCCTTCTGCTGTCACGAGCCACGTTTTTGCCAGTTCCAGGATCTCCTTATGAGATGGGAATGCATCCGCGGAGCCTCCTTTTCAACTCATTTGAGACTTGGGGCTGTAGTTGAATTATTATTTGAGCTTTTGAGATGTTAATCAGCTGCTCCCAGTTGTAAAATAAAACACCTTGTTGTTATGGTTACGCATCATAACAAATGTCCACAAGTAAAAAAGTTTCAGTAAAAATCCTTCCAGCTGCACAGCGTCCGATACCAGAGGAAACAACCATCCAAAAAAAGTGACTTACATCCAGAAAAACAGATCTCTTTTATTCTTTGTTGCACCTGGGCCCACCTTTTGAATGGGAGTGTTCTTGTCCTGCATGCACTGTTGGTATAAATAGCTCCTGTAGGAGGACCTGATTTACTGAAAATTCTAACCGGAAACTTGGGATCAAGTAGTTTATCAAAAAAAAAAAAAAAAAGATTGACGCAGATATAATAAAATAACTTCTCCTAATCGTCCTTTAGGTACTTAAAGCCTGTGAGGGTTTCAACTTAAAATGGCTCTGGCAGTATAAAGTGCAGCTCAGGCATCCTGGCTGATATGTATTGATTTCTGATCTAATCTCAGCCCGAGGCTGCCGAGATTCAGAGACCCATAAAGCAGACGAGTTCTCACACATTTCCACACCGTGAAGGCAAACAAGGCTGAAATCATGAGAACAATTTCAAGGTCTTTCCACAGGTTAATGTCATTCTCACATTAGTGAAACAATTGGGCACTTTTTTGACAGCAGATTTAAGAGAAGTCTACTGTTTAGTGTCAGAAGTCGTGGTTGTGCTCCGTTTCTTTGTAGACTGTTCAGGGTGAAGACTCACAAGTTAGTCGAGATAAACTTTTATAGGCACAAACTGTGCAAACAAAAGCAATGAGTGTGTTTAGTATTTTCTTTGTTTCTTCTGCTAACATGTTCATCAATAGGTCCGTTTTACACGTGCCACATAAAAAGCTCCATTTGCATGTCCAATTCAATCTGGAAGAACTCATTCCAGCTAAGTGCACTCATCAGCTAACGCCCAAACTGTCGATATCTGCACATCGACTACTAAATCTGTGTGACAGAGACCCTAAAGTGTAAAAAACAGACCCACATTAATTTACAGCGTAACCTCACGTGTCGTTCGCCTCTATACCCGTCTGCTCCCTTAACAAAAACACTGACAGACGGTTGACGAATGAATTTCAAACTTTTTTTAATAGAATATATGCCATGAGAGGAGGTATTACCGCGTTCTATATTTGCGGCGACAAAGTGACGACTAAACGAGGACAGATGTGTGAATTAGAAATGAGGACCATGTGGAGCCTGCCACTTTTAGACCTATATTTAGGGCCTGCTAAAAGAGTAATGACCATCAAAAGCCCATAAAAGAGGAATCGCCATCAGAGCCTGGATCTAAAAAGGTGATTTATTACACTCTAATGAGATGGAAATGGTTCTCCGCACATCAAAGGATAAGGCAGCATTTTATAAAGCTCCTGAAAATAAACGTATTGGACCCCACAAAATCCACATCTTGGCGTCATGCTTGTTTAGTCGGTCCGATTGTCTCTTTAATGCCGAGCATAATTCAAAGAACCGCTGCATCGGATTTTATTTCAAAGTACCTGTCGGCAACTTGTGTTCTGAAGTGATGTGGGATGTATGCACGCTCGTCACAGATGGTGATGAAACGTGACTTTGATGGGTTTATATTTTAATTTTTATGATCAGATGCAAAAATAGTCTAGTGAGCTTATTATACCGGCCTTAAATCACTATTTTGTCTGGTGTTGAAGCAACAAACAGCCAGAACTGGCGTTTCTTCAAAGTGCACTGTGCTGTCTAAGTTTGCAATGGTTTTTGTATTGTTGTTTATATACTGACAAAGGAATGAATGAGATACCTTCATAGTCAGCACCCAGAAATCTGGGCTGGGATTCCTGTGCCTACTGAGCTGATAATCAGTCTTATAGAACCACTGGCTCAGTTCAGCAGGAACAGGAGTCCAGTCCGCTCACCACCGGACCAGAAACTGGTCCCAACAGACACATCACAAACAAAAGCCACAACTAATAACTGTTTAAAGGATTTTTTTCTCTTGAGTTTGACTCACATAAAGTTAAAAAAACTGCCTAATTTCCTCAACAATATCTGTTTTTCTGAGTCCAACTGCAGTAAATCATAGACTGTTTGTAAAATGGAGCATTAACACCTTCACACTTGGCAGGTGTTGTGTTGAGGGCCAGCGGAAGTGAGGTGTCAGCTTCAGAGTGATTGAAAGAAGCCATTTGCGTATTTCTTCTCAACAGTGGATCAGCTGGAAGGAAGCTCCGCTGAGCTGTGATTTGTCATTTTACTCTCCGAGGGTCGTTATCTTCATGGTACATCTACGTAGTTTTGTTTTACAAGGCAGCACCAGACTCATGTCACGTGTATCACGATTAGAGTAACACACAAACACACACAGCTGCAAGCTGAAATCAGCTATTACCCGTTTGTGGTTGTAAAGTCAGATTCTTATGAACGGGACCAGAATGCTGTATTGAGCAGAACAGATGTTTTATTTTTAAACAGAACTTCATGTTCTCTGTTTAATATTAAAACATCAACACAGATCTCAAAGTCTCATGTTGGCCCTCCTGCGCCCTTCATTCTCTAGTGTTTAGGCAGAATGTGATCAGTGTCAAAAGAAGAAGCTCCTTTTTACAAAATGGAGTTTATCTGTTGTTGCTCTTCTTTCAAATCAGAAACATTATGTGTCTGATGCAAACAACTCCTAACATGCAGCTGTTAGTTGATCTAATGTGGGTCAAACTACTGATCTGTAAATACTGATCTGTAAATACTGATCTGTAAATACTGACCTGTAAATACTGATCTGTAAACCTCCATCTGCCTGCACGGACCGAACTCTATGGACCTGTTCGGTTCTGCGGGGAAACCTTGGATGTTCTGTCTGCTGGACCGGTTCTGGACTGCGGTCTGCGAGGGCAGCTGCTGCGGTCCTTATTACCACCAACTGTTGACCGGACCTGCTAACGCTGCTAATAAGATCCTCCATCTGCCTGCACACGCAGTATGGACCCATTCGGTTCCGCGGGGAAACCTACGATGTTCTCTGTCCACCGGACTCGGTTCTGGACTGTGGTATGTGAGGGCAGCTGCTGTGGTCCTTATTACCATCAAGCTGCGAACTGGACCTGCTAGCAGGACCTGCTAAGCTGCTAACAAGACCACACCGCTAACAGAACAGAACCATGATGTTGAAAGAACCTCACTGCTAACTGGATTACACTAGATGGTTTTCTTTTTCACCTTTGGCACCTTGTTTTTAGTATTTTATAAAAAAAATTAAATGTTAGTATGTTAATAGTATTTTTTAACATGTTTTTTTAGTATGTTATTAGTATTTTTATATGTTTTTTTTTTTTTTGTATGTTAGTAGTATTTTTTTTAGTATGTTTTTAGTATTTTTGCTGCATGCTTTGATATTTCTTGTTTTCTTTTTTTGGCGAGTCGAGACAGTTCTTCTCGTTCCAAGCATTTCATTGCATTGTTGACCTTGTGTTGATTTTGCACATGACAAGTAAACCTAACCTAACCCATCTGGATTCTGAATTGTACATAAATACTTAAATTTAAATAACAATAAAATAATAACCTGAAGATTTGAGCACCTCACATATTCTTCAGACCACGTGTGAATATTAATCTCGTCTTCTATGATAAAAGGTTTTGTTTTATTACCGTAGATTCCACGATATATTCTTGTCTTGGAGGGTCAAATAAACATTTAATGCTGTAAGATTGTTGCTCTGACATTAAAAGACATATCTTTAAAACTAAAAAGAAAACAGGTTTTTACAGATCTAGAACTGAATTGCAATGTGATTATCACATGCTGACGTGAAAGACAGGCAATAATGTAATTATGTGCTAGTTTTGTGATTTTTGTTAAAATTTTAACTTGTTTTTACTTTTATTAAATAATATATTTTGATAGAAACTCCAAATAAGACAAAGTTTTGATCTTTCAAAACAATTGAGAGGTATTGCCCTTAATTTTTGCTTGTAAAGAACAATGTTCTTTATATGCAAATGACTAAAAAGGGAGTGTCGACTAAAGATGATTATGGAAACAAACTTGTGGAAATAATTATTTCACAGTAATGATGAACTATAAAACAAAAACAATATAGCCTTTAATATTCTGCAGAAATATCATGAATGTGCATTTCTGCTGTTATGCATCTGGTCTTTTTTGAGTTCAAATTATTTTAAAATGATTAACAGTATGAGACAAGACTGTGTGCTTTTTATCTGTTACATTTTTAACATGTCTTTTTTATTCATCATAGTTTGTTTCAACTTACTAGTATTTAGTGTGTGTGTGTGTGTGTATATATGTATATATATATATATATATATATATATATATATATATATAATCATTCAGTGTTTGTCTTTTGTCAGAATATTCAAAACAACAATCAAATGATATGCAATGTTCCAATCTGTGCATTCTTTATTTCCTTCCAGATTTCAGATTGAACAGAAAAGGCGAGCGTATAAGACGAAGGCGACGTGAGGGTCCATCGCTCAAACTCATCTGTCTATTGGAAGCCTGCATTCGTGCTCTACAGCCAACTGGAGAAGTTTAGTGCCGTCGAACCGATAACTACAAGCTGCTCACAGAAAGAGGGTTGTTGAAGGCGTTGTCGTTAGGCAGAAAAATCCATCGTTCCACCCAGTTTTTCATCCGTAATGGGAAACGAGGATTTCATGGATGAAGACCCAGCACCTCCAGCCACATTGAAGAATGTGAGCTGCTGTTTAGGTTAATGCTGTTTGTGTTCGTGTGTTTAAGGCTGAGCTCACGGTTGTTTAGTCTAACATCATGATCTGCTTCTCAGGAGTTTACACTTTAAAATTCTTGTTGGTGCAGAAGTTTTTTTTTTTTTTTTTTTATGTGACTCAGGATAGCAAAAAAAGACGACTCTCAGGGTCATTTTTTGTGTAAATTTAAATTTTATAAATGTTTTGCAAATATAAATTGATTTTTTTAATGTGAAAATAAATTTGTGTAAATAAAATGTATTTGGGTTTTTTGTAAGTGACTCGCTCATTTCTTCTCTATTATCCTACTTTTATGCATTTTAACAACTTCATATCCTGGAGGTGTGAAGTCATGAAAATAAACACTGTAAAACAACAGTGATAAAAGTTGTTTTACTAATCCAATGTAGAAAACTAAAATGATGATTTTTATATAAAACAGTGTTTCTGAATACATATCTGTGATCTTATCTAAGAGTTTAAAAATCTACAGACTGAAGGATGTTCATCTTATTTAGAGTATCTTTATTTGATCAGTTACGAATCACAATAAAACTCAAGCTCTTTTCCTGACTATTCCCAGATATGTGTGTGTTTATGTGAAATGAGTCAAGTTCAGTTCAGTTGATTTATGTAGCGCCAAGTCACAACAGAAGTCGTCTCAGGGCACTGAATAGAAACATTCACATACTTAAAAAAAGCCAGTTAGTAAAAGTTATCTAAGGAAGCCAGCAGATTGCGTTTAATCTTCACTTCATCACAGTCTTTCATCCTGATCGAGCACAAAGGCAACAGTGGAAAGGAAAAACTTCCTTTTAACAGGAAGAAACCTCCAGTAGAACCAGGCTCAGGACAAGTGACCGTCTGCTTCGACCGGCTGGGGTTAGAGCGGACAGGAAGGAGAAACATAAGAAAACAGAGTGACAGTTCCAGATGTACCTTCTATTGGAGGAAAGACAAAAAAAACATGTTAAGGACAGAAATAATTACAAATACAAACAGGTAAAAACAGCAGCAGAGTGAAGAAATGTGGCCAATTTGTCTTCCAGCAGCCTATAGCAGCATAACTAAGGGATAGCATAGGAAATCCAAGCCAACCCTAATATAGGATTTATCAAAAAGGAAAGACTTAAGCCCAGTCTTAAAACTGGACAATGTGTCCGCCTCATGGACAGAAACTGGAAGTTGGTTCCACAATAGAGCTTGCTAACTGAAAGATCTGTCTCTCACTCTACTTTTGGAAACTCTAGGAACTGCAAGTAAACCTGTAGTCTGAGATCAAAGTGCTCTGTCAAGAAAATATGAAACAGTAAAATCTGTAATATAAGATGGAGCTAGGTTGTTGAGAGCTTTGTAGGTTAGAAGTAAGATTTTGAAATAAATTCTGGACTTGACAGGGAGCCAATGAAGAGAAACTAAAACTGGAGATATGATCTCTCCTACTAACTCCAGTTAAGACTCTGGAAGCAATGTTTTGGATTAACTGAAGACTTTAAAGAAGTATTTGGACACTCAGATAATAAACCATTGCAATAGTCCAGTCTAGACGTGACAAATGCATGAACCAGTTTCTCTGCATCATTTCTGGACAAGATGTTTCAAACTTTAGTGATATTATGCAGGTGGAGGAAAGCGGTTCTGTAAGAGTTGACTTCAGATGACCAAACACAACAGTGGGTTGGTAGCAGAGTATTTAAATGGGAGTGCTACGTTGTGACTTAACCCTCTTGTTATATCCAAAGCCAAGTTGAGATGACATTTGTTGATTTGGATAAATGTGTTGCTGTTGAACTATACGGCATGACTGAACATCTACGTTCCAAATTTTGTTTTCAAACTTGAGTTATTTTTTAGATTAAAAAAATCATCCAGTCTTTATTTTAGACTGTACTCCTTTCAGGTGGGATATCTTTCAAAGATGTGTCTCAGTGAAAGTCACATTGAATAAATGTGCTTTTATTTCAAATAAATGCAACAATATAAAACATTTACACTTTCTTTAAAATATATAATAAACACAGCATAGTTGGATTATGTTATTTCTAAACAGAGCCCAGACACTGCTGCTACCGAGCTTCATTTGCCTTCAGACCTGTCTTGGATTTAGCCGGTGCAGTTTGAAGGCTTCATATTGAGGACATTCAGTGAGTGGGAGGACTGACACGTACGAGCTGCTGCTTCTTCTTTACAGTGTCATCTGTCACTGCTCAAGAGTCCTTGTGGGTCTTGTACTTGTCTTTTATGTACGTATATAATTGTATCCTCCTGGTGGACTGTGGTCTGTCCTTGCTGTGTTGTTTTAACACCTTTCTGCCTTCGTAAAGCAGCACATCTACACAACACGGTGGCTTGGTGTGCATGTGTGCTCTCACTCACGGATTGTGTGTACTAGGTTCCATTTCCATTTGGGTTATTGTGTTTTTAAGATCCCTGATCCTGAGATGAACTCTGTCACCTGCACAGCAGCTTCCTTCATTTAGTCTGAGATGCAGTGAGCTGAGAACACACACTGCTTCATCACGTGCACCAGACTGATCTACCACCTGGAAACACACACAAACACAAAAATAAACAAGTCAGTGACCATATTAAGATGTTTCACCAAAAAAGGGCAAACCCTCATCTAATATAAACTTGGATTTTTTTTTTTTAAGAGAAAACACAAAAGTACTTAAAACGTTATTTGATTCTGTCAACTCATCCCTTAAATTAGACTTGTTTAATGCTTGAATCTGTTTTTGGTCAATGTTTAGAGATATAACAAATTCAACTAAAAAGCTAAACTAAAAAGAACCTTCTTGGCACAAAGTCAGACGTGCTCTCAGTGCAGGTTGGACTCCACCAGGGATGTCCCTTCTCTCCATCCTGTTCTTGATGTTCATGGACAGAATCTCAAAACACAGTCAGGTAGAGGAGGTCTGGTTTGGGAACCTCAGGGTCTCATCTCTTCTTAATGTGAATGATTCTGTTGGCATCTTCAGGCTAAGACCTTCAGCGTGCACTGGGGCGGTTCACAACTGAGTGATGCAGCAGGGATGAGAGTTCTTCGATAAGTCTGAGGCCGTGGTTCTTGGCCAGGAATGGGTGTAATGCTCCCTCGGGGTCAAGCAGGAGACTTTGCCTCAAATGGAGGAGTTTAATATCTGGGCATCTTGTTCATGAGTGATTGAGCAGGAGATGGATTGATGGATTGGGGCCTCGTTCGCAGTAATGAGAGAATTGCTTCGGTCTGTCGTGGTGAAGAAAGAGCTGTGTTGAAAGGCAAAGCTTGCTATTTACTGTCTGTCTGTTCCAACCCTCACCTATGAGGTTTAGGTCATGACCAAAAGAACAAGATCCTGGATACAAGTGGCCGAAGAACAGGGTGAGAAACTCCATCATCCAGGGGGAGCTCAGAGTACAGCTGCTGCTCCTCCACATGGAAAGGAGTCAATTGAGGCGGGTCGAGCATGTGATTAGGATGCCTCACAGACGCCTCCATTTAGTTTTTTTGGGCACATCCCGCTGAAAGGAGGCCTGGGGGGAAACACAGAAAATGCTGGAGGGATTATGTGTCTTCTCTGGCCTGAACGCCTCAGGGTCCCCAGGACAAGCTAGAAAGTGTCACTAGGCAGACGTTGGCAGTGTTTCTCTCCTGGACCTGTTGCCTCCACGATATGACTACAGGTAAGTGGTAGAAGACGAAGAACTATTGCTAACGAGCAAATTTAAAAAAGGCAAGAAAGTTTCTCCTTGGAAGGAAATAACAGAAATGGGGGGGTTATTAAAAACATTTGCACAGTTTTGTACACATTACTAAACCAACATTACAAGAACATTCAACATGTGAGCTGCTTTTTCTTGAACAAAAAGAGGACCAAACTCATTTGATGTTTTTACTTTATAAAATGCACCTTTTCATGAGATTTATTTTCTACAAATTCATTTTGTTGCCTAAGTCGAATAAAAACTTCATGTGTATGTAATTAACATACGTCATAATCTATAGTCTGTCACTGTCTATCTTTGTACTGATGTAAAAAATGCATTGAATAAAAATAATTCAAAGCCAATACAATCACTTATAGATTCAAGGTTTTACATATCAGGACAAAATGTGATGATTCACCAACTTGGTCCTAGAAGCAGGGAAATAAAACCTCAGATACACAAAAACACAGCCTGTTTTTAACAACAGGCCAACATGTAATTGTGTAAAAAAAAAAAAAACAGCTGCACATGAGTTTACCTAAGTTTATACCTACTTATACCTTAAAGTTGTGTCAGCAGAAACAACCAAACGTCAGTTTTTATTGTCTGTTGTGATCTGTGTCCAAAGGTCGTTCAGACGCTGATCATGCTGTGTCTTCTTCTGACAGAGGAATTCTCATGAGTTACTGAATATAAAATCATCTAGTGAGTGGTAATATACATTACTGTATAATCCTAGGATGTGTTGAAATGAGTTGGAGATGACTAGAAAAAGAAAAACGACAACATTATTCTTACCATCTGTAAAACTTGTGCTGAGGCATTCGGTGGTAGATGACAGAAAACTGCAAAATTAACTAACAGGTTAAGGGTCAACGACGAAGCCATTGAGGACTGCTGAGTCTGTGATGAGAGCAGGCTGATTAATGATTGTAGGCGGTCAACACTACCAGGACACGGTGACACAGAGTAAAGAGAGCGCAGGTGGTCCCATGCTTCTTTGGCCTGTACCTGGCAACAACAAAAAGCACAACTTATTGGAC